TGCTTAGCCAAAAAACAAAAATTCGAAAATATTTCCAAACTGACCGAAAATTGCCGATTTCTCGGATTTCATTATTTTGACGAGCGCCTGGTCTCACTACGATGCCTCATTTCGTCACTGGATCACATAGTGTGTCATTTGGGGTTTAGCTTGCTGTGTTTTTTGTTACCTCCCTGGGCGAAATCTTGCATTTGCTATGAACGAAATTGTGTTTTTGACAAGGGTGTGGTGTATCAAGCTTTCATACCTCAGTTTGTAGTAAGGTTTAAACGTCACAATAGTCCACCAATCCTTTCACAAAACTATGTATCTCTGCTTCAGTGTGTCTGTTTCATGCCATATCCATCAAATTTTCATGGTGGCTGTTTCATAAACATGTTTCCTACACTACCCACATGTAGAGAGACTTCGTACAGGGGGTGGGGTGACTTCGAACAGTGGGGTGACTTCGAACACTCTCCGAAGGGAGGCATCCCAGTTTGTCACATGCCCAGTTTGTCACATGCCCAGTTAGTCACCGGCCCAGTTAGTCACAGGTCCAGTTAATCACAGGCCCAGTTAGTCTTACTTTTTAAAAATACTTTTATCCGCCGCTTATACCCTTTTGGGTGCCCAGTTTTGGGTGCCCAGTTAGTCATAAGCCCTAAAGTCCCTCTAAAATGTCAATTCAGTTCGTGTTGTTCAATATTTCTTCCTTTTTGTATGCAAATCAAAAGCAAATTCAAATTACTCTGTAAAATTTCAACAATGAATGTTCTTTCGTTTTTAAATTCATATACTGGGCCTGTGACTAATTAATGGGCCTATGACAAACTTTAGTTTATCCTGTGACTAACTGGACCTGTGACAAATTGGGCAGTCCCCGTTCGAAGTCTCCCGACGGCTAATGTAAGTATTACTATTACTGTAAACCCTCTCTGGTAAGATCAAGAGTAGTTGGAATCAGAGTTTCTACGAAAATTGAATTTTTAAAAAAGTATACATGTGTTGTTGTATTTCCCATACTCAACCATATCAAGGAAAAATAGAGCCCAAAAGGGAAAAGAACCTTTTAGTTCACAAAAAGATGAAACTCACAATACATATGCATTTATTAATGACTCATTGTCTTTGCGTCTTGCTGAAGCTATGTGTATAATGTGTGGAAATCTACTCGGAAAGATTCTGTTTAAAACGGTGTGAAGACATTAGAGACAATTGTTCACGATTGCACAAGTTCTTAATGATCCTATGGGGGAAAAAACTCTCGGAGTATTTGATAAAAAAGTTCAAGGACGTTCTTCTAACCCGACGTTTGTCATTACATTATATCATAATTTGCCACGGCAAACAATATTATCAAACCAGAAACATGGCATATTGTGAACATACGCGACCCGAAAAGACTGGCTTTCTGGGTTCTGGTTCGAAAGTGGCGCCCTTCCCTTGGAACCCGAAGAACGTTACTTTGGTGTCGACGAACTTGGGATTATTTGGGAGTGTGTCCACTACGTTGGGAAATGCTGCCAGAAGAAGACGAACGGGAGGACTTTGAGTGTCTTCCCTAAGAAAATCTTAAGAAAACAATTCTTCCATCTTTAATCAACCTGTAGAAGATTTGGTCATTGTAAAATGAGACCATTATTCCTCCCCCTATTTAAGGCTCAACAAAGAGGTAAAAAAAAAAAGCTCCTCTAAGTTTGCCGTTAAAATGGCATCCGTTAATGTTTCTGTTTGCATTGAAGTCTCCAGTGCGTTTGAATTTCATCTTCGAAAGCTCAAGTGCAACACTTGAAGTTCAAGCTCTTTTCAAAAAGTAAATTCTGATATAATGTTTTCAATCTGCAGACTTTGTGTCCCTTAACGGATTGATTTGGTTGTTGTAAATTCCTAGAGCTGTGTGCACACGGGAGTGGGCGCTATAGAAATGATCTACATTATTATTATTATTATTATTATTATTATCATTATTATTATTATTATTATTATTATCATCATCATCATCATCATCATCATTATTATTATTATTATTATTATTATTATTATTATTATTATCATTATTATTATTATCATTATTATTATTATTATTATAAAGGAAGAAAGACGGCTAGACTAGCCGTACTTAATAATAATGGCCTAGACTGACAAACAGCAAAAAATATGCCTACTGAATTGTAAACAAATTTTAGCTTGCAATACCTAAAGTAAGCTTTTATTTGTATTTGAGACGAAATCAAAAGATGCCTTATTGTGCATGTATTTTAAACATGAATAATTACTAATGAGACCTGTGTACTCTACAGTTTTTGGTCAATAGGGCCTTACCTAAGTACGGCAAGACTGGCAGGCTAGCCGTTCTTAATAATGATGGCTGAATTGCAAATAACATTTAAGTTTGCAATACCTAAAGTATTTAGTATTTTAGATGAAACTAAAAGGTGCCTTACTGACATGCATGTACCTAGCTTAAACCTGAACAATTACTAGATCTAATGAGACCTGTGTACTCTGAAACAGGTTTCGGTCAAATTAGGGCCTAACCTAAGTACACGGACTGACCGGCTAGCCGTACTTAAGGGTGATTAAAAAAAACCCCCCAAAAAACGGTACAACTTTTTTCCTTAATATCTCGCACAAAATTTGTACTAGAATGTTGTAATTTGGAACAGATATAATTCATTCAAAAGGAAATTATTTGACATAAAATTCACAAAGAAGCTTATTTGCGAAAACGGAAATGGCGGCGTTTACAAAAAACACCTATAATTTTATAAATGCAAAATGCACGATGTTAAAAGATCTTGTAAGGAACGTCATGAAATGATTGTTGTTGTTTTTTTCATTTCCTTTTATTTTTAACATTTAATATTTCCACCCCTGTAACCTTCACACACTATTTCATTTTCCTTCAGAGTATAATTTTTTTTTTAATTCTGGAATTCCGAGAACCAATGCTCCACATGTCCTTCGACACATTTTAACGCATCGCTCGTAATGTTCAGTGGTGGCCAAACACAAGGATCCATTCAACCATGAGTACTAAAAGCCATAAACACTGTACTACACCTTACAGTGTGGAGCTGTTTCTAGAGACTATGGGGGGGGGGGGGGGGGGG